GAGTGCAAGCTGATGATTTGCCATTGTTTGGAAATGTAGAAGAAATTATTGCCATCAATTGACATGCATTCCTATGGGTGTCTCTCTTCATTAATAATGGAATTGACCACCATTTTCATGCATACACTGTTATTCCTAGTGAAGAAAAGAAAATGATTTATTTAAATGATGAAAACGAGTATATTTGTCTGCTGCCCCCTGTGAGTAAACATTCATTGCAGTCATATCCAGGATTGTTTTTTGTAGTATCAAGAACACTTGTTGTAAAATTATAGATAGATCTAAATATACTCATCATATTAAGATTGCTCATTATATCAGGATTGTTTTTTTAACAAATGATGCTTTGTGAAACAATCAATAGATTTGTTAATTTGACATAATATCAATTAGAATTACAAACAATTGTCATAACAACTATTCTGCTGAGGTGACAAATTTTGTCAAATGACGAATACGTTTTTACAGTGTACTATCGCCCAGCCCTATTAGAATTACTATATACTTATACCAGCCCATCTCACTTTTCTTAGCTTTCCTTTTTATTGTGCCACGCTTTGTAGTTTGACTCATTCTTCATACTCTCGGCTGACACTCCATATTTTTCGCTGACTCTTCCTCCATGCTCTTGGCTGACTTATTCTGCGTATTCTCGGCTGACTCTTTCTCCATATTTTCGGCTGACTCTTTCTCCATATTCTCCACTGACTCTTTCTCAATGTTCTCAATAATATCACCTGCTGCATTACTTGCATCTTTCTTATCTTCTAGAAAATTATATATGCAGCTATTGACTAAAAATCAAAGTACAGTGTTACCAAAGGTGACTATTGTGCCATCATGAAATTCCTTTCAATCCCTTACTCTGCAAGAGGTACCAGCTTTCAGCTGCTCAGCTTCTACACAGTTTGCTTTCACAATAGAATGAGTATCGTCTTGCTTAAAGTATATCAACAAGAAGCTAGCATTTGAAATAGTAACAAGACTCCTAAACATGTCTTTAAGTTGCAATTTGTCTTCTTCTGGGTGTCATTTATCTGCTTTCTACAACTCATTTCTACTCGTTTCCACTGAGTCGTAACCGGGCTGGTGAAAATTAATGCCCATGCACAGTATTGAGTAGCGCATGCGCAGCAAGTCAGTAGAGCAGTGTAGCGCAGGAGTAAAGAAAGCAAAGCTGCTTGTTGCAACTACCGTTTTGTTTCGCATGAGCTGCGTAGGAAGAAAACTGCAGTTCGTAGGAATTACTTTGAGCTACTTAGCTTTTTTTTCTCTCTTATCTGTACCTACGCAAAAGTGGAGTAGCTACTTATCTTTCTTTTCACCCTGCACTGTATATAAATGAAAGCCTATTAGGGGCTCTCTCACATGCAGGATCATTGCCATATAACACTGCATTAGGATTAAATTTAAAACTGCACAGAATACATGTATGTATGTAGACAGAAATGATAAGGAGAAATATAAAGACGAATAGCTTTTTGCCAAGAATGTCATAACTATTTACAAAAAATAAAATAGCTTGACATGACAATTAAGGTGACTCAATACATTTAACCCTATGTTTCAGTTCTTTGTTAATCAGAATGTTTAACGTTTGTAACACTTAAAGAATAGTGGTTATCTGATCAAATATGGGACAGGATTGCAAATTCATTATTTTAATAGCCATAAAGTCTCTGGTATCTACAAATAGCTGTTTCTGAATGAAAAGATATCACCAGTTTATCAGGTGAATTTTTTTAATTCTACTTGAAGATTAAATTTACCAAAACTACAGTATTTTTTTTAGAACTTCCTTCTCTTACTAGACGGCAAAAAGGCAACCACATAAATTATAGTTCCATAATGTTGATGCAATGCTCAAAATTTGAAATACAATATGAATTACAAAACTAACTTTAACTGATGTTTTAAAATGACATGCATAAATAATCTATTATTCCCACGGTACATGTATGCGTAAGAAAGTATACTAAAACTGCCATACTACAGCTACTGCATACCAGAATATAATTCATTTAAAATGTGCAATTAGAAATTAAGTGGATAGTGCCTGAGGTTAGCTAAAGTGACAGATATTTTTGGCAAAATCATTGAAATTACTGATACAAAGATCTAGACCAGGTTTCAATTACAAAAGCTCAATTATATTTACACATTCAATTACACTCCTTTTGCTAGAAGAGGCTCAATTACAATTGCAATTACACCATGATAGTGTAATTTAAATTACATTTTCAATTACAATTACAATTTGATGTACATGAATTGTAACAAGATACTTCGCAGTGCTTACACTGTGACTTAAAATTTACATTAGGTAGTGATTTGCAGTTATCAAATAAACCCATACTTACTAGTGTACATTAAAATCATTTCTTTGTGTCTCTGTACACTCTGTATTCAGTTAAATCAAATATAACTGAAACTTCAATTACATAAGCTGAAGCTCAATTACAATTACGCAACTGTAATTGTAATTGACCCTTAAATTATAATTACAATTGTAATTGACCCCAGGTCTGAAAAGATCACATTACAGTAGTTCTGTAAAACTATGGTGATTATCACTAAGTAGCCATTTTTACATTGAACTCCAAAATTAATCTACAAATATAAATAGCCTGCCATTAGAAGGAAATTACCCTGTCCGCTCCTTGTACACATACATTGCACTTCTTTTTTACACTGGATGATCCTTAATTACACTGGATCAATCACTTTTGAAGTTTTTTTGCACAATGAACTATAACACACTGGGCATTCCATACAGATCGAGTGTGTTTCTAAATGCTGTGTTGCATTGGCTGAATCAGTGATGATGGTAAGTGGCGTGTAAATGTACAGGCTACTGCATGTATAATTCGACGGTAATTTTGACAGGCCTTAAATGCTTAATTTCTTCCCAAAAAAGAACATAATGTTTTGTGTACTTGGACACTCTCTCCTCTTCTTCCCTATCATTCCTTTCTTCATGGTTTTACTATTGTACTTGTACATTTCCCTTTTCTCTGCATCTTTCTCATCTTTGCTTTCGTATGTCTCTATCTTATTTCCTCCCTATGTTCCTTTCTACATCAACGTGTATATTCCTCTCCCAATGACTCTCTCTCTCTCTCCCACTTTTAGTCTACCTATCTCGTCGCATCTCTCACATTACTCCACCTGTGCCTTGTTTCATGTCCATTCCTCATTAAATTTTATTGTTTCTCACTTGGTCAGTCTGTCTTTTAAGCTTTCTGTCCACCTAATTTAATCCACTCTTCTCTATTGTGTATGCACCAGTGATGTAGTTGATTACTGATTGCTTTCACATTCATATCAAAAACTGATGTCCCAGTCCAATCATCCATTACACACAGAATAGCATTAAAGTTACAAATAATGTTTAACCATTACAATTCACTGCTCTCTATCTCTTTAGTGTGTCTTTCTCCCTCAAGGTTAGGATTTGCACTACTGACATCAAGTCTTTCATTCAAGTAAGGTCAATAATATATTTTTCCTTTTTATGTTTCTTTGTATGATTAGAGTGAAACTAAAGACAGACAGAACATATTTTCTTTAATATTAAATTATTACTTTACTAAGCAGCGCATGACATGCAGATACAGCAAGATTTCCTTTCATCCGGGGATGAGAAAGTTACCTTCAAAGGTTTCATAATGTTAACATTTTTTCAAGTCTCATCCTGATAGTTATTTGACATTAGTAGCTAGGCATGCACAATTACTTGTTATAAAAAATTAAAGTACTAACTTTGGTAAAAACTAAACGTACTTTTTGCATGCTTAATGCACTGCAAAAGTAAAGGTGGGAAATAAAGCTCACTACGATTGGTGGATTAAAGCCACCAACTTTGGCCACTTAAGTTATTGGATTCCTGGGTAATTGTAATGGTAATTGTCACAGACCTACATGTATGACACTGATTTCATTAATTGAGTAAAGCACACGTACATATACATGTGCATGAATGCCATTGCCACTATGTCTCAAATAAACAAATTATCACAGCCATCACCATTACTGAAAATCATTACTGTTGTAATAAATTTGAATTACCATTACAATTTATTGCCATGCACCTCTCTTTCTTTCTACCCTTTTTCTTTCTTTAGTTGCAATGTACCTCAATCTTGTAATGGACCAAGGTAACACTGATGTCATCACATAAAGAGTCTTACATAATTCAAGTAAGCTCCAGTACATATTTCCCTTGTTATGTTTCTTTTCTGTGGTTTTAGGACAAAGGCGTCAAGACAACACTAAGACTAAAAACTGATTTATTCAATTATTGTTTTTTATAATTATTATTGTTAAAATGAAATATTTGGCACTGTGCAGCAAATGACCTTCAGTAAGTAACACGCAGCATAAAAGTGCAAATGGATTATTGTTGTACCAATCATTGTCTGTTGTATTCTTATGTTATTTTTTGATTTCAATTGCCAAAAAATGTTTTTCAATATAATTATTTGTCACTACTATATATGCAGCAAAGGTAAGCAATATGAAGCAGTTCATGAGGCAAGGTCCTTTGACTTGATTCACTCCAAGGATCTGAGATGTAGCAATACATAAGTTGCAAAATGATGAATGATTTTTTTTCAAGTATGTTAGCAGTGCAGTTCTGACTATTGTCTGGTATTAGTAGGTAAGAATGCACGATTACTTGTTTTAAAAAATAAATGTACTATTATTGAATGAACAACTACTGACATAGTCAGCTAAACATACTTTCTGCATGCTTAACGAGGGGTTGGGGCTGAATGTTTTTAGCTGAAAAGTCAAAGGTTTTACGTCACAAGTCCCAGAAAATGCAATGAAGTTTTTAATACAATAATTAGCTAGTGCTACAGCGAGGTTAAAAGTTTGTGGGAACCAAATTTCATATTTAGACTAAAACTTTGTTTCAGACATTTTATTGGTTTACAGGGCTTGTAAAGCAAATCAGCTACTACTAAGACAAATTTTCTTGACCAGTGTATTTAACTTTTAATCATGCTGTAGCACTAGCTAATTATTGTATTAAGAACTTCATTGCATTGTTTCGGACTTGCTTTGGAGTTTTCAGCTAAAAACATTCAGCCCCACTCCCTCATTAAGCATGCAGAAAGTATGTTTAGCTGATTATCTCAGTAGTTATTCATTCAATATTTATTCTTCAAAACAAGTAATCATGCATGCTTACCTGCTGATACCAGACAATAGTCAGAATTGCACTACTAACATGCTTGAAAAAAATCATTCATCATTATGCAACTTATGTATTGCTACATCTCTGATCTTTGGAGTGGATCAAGTCAACGGACTTTGCCTCATGAACTGCTTCATATGCTGACCTTTGCTGCATATAAAGTAGTGACAAAAAATTATATTTCAAAACAATTTTTGGCAATTTAAATCAAATAAATAACATACAAGAATACAACTGACATGATTGGTACAACAATAATCCATTTGCACTTTTATGCAGTGTGTTACTTACTGAAGGTCATTTGCTGCACAGTGCCAAATATTCCATTTTAACAATAATAATTATAAAAAAACAATAATTTAATAAATCAGTTTTTAGTCTTAGTGTTGTCTTGACGCCTTTGTCCTGAAACCACAGAAAAGAAACATAACAAGGGAAATATGTACTGGAGCTTACTTGAATTATGTAAGACTCTTTATGTCATGACATCAGTAGCACCTTGGTCCATTGCAAGATAGAGGTACATTGAAAGATTGAGGCACTAAAGAAAGAAAAAGGGTAGAAATAAAGAGAGGTGCATGGCAATGAATTGTAATGGTAATTCAAATTTATTACAAAGTAATGATTTTCAGTAATGGTGATGGCTGTGATAATTTGTTTATTTGAGACATAGTAGCAATGGCATCCATGCATATGTAATGTACGTGTGCTTTACTCAATTAATTGAATGAGTGTCATACATGTAGGTCTGTGACAATTAGCATTACAATAACCCAGGAATCCATTGACTTAAGTACATGTACATTACATATCGCACTTACCATTATCATGCTTCAGCCAATGCAACACAGCATTAATATGACTTTGTTGGACATAGCCTAAATAATTAAATGCATATGAATTGAATAAGAGACTATACTCCCTCTCACTCTCAGTACATGCACTGTGCACAAGAGCACTATAGTGTGCATTGTGTCTTACTACTACCATTTCTTTACCATTTATTTGCATTCCTGTTCCCACATTGCATCAAGTGACAATGTCTGTGATATACCAATGTACCATAAAATGTGACGATAATTGACAAAAGGGCCCTTATGGCGGATTTTAAAATTGATCGTTATAATGAAAAATATCAACCTGTGAGTGCTTTGTTAGACAATCATTGTTTCTAAAAGTTTCATGGTAACTTTTTGCATCCTGTGGAGTAATTTTATGATAAATGGGGCTCAGGAAGTTGGATTTGTTAGGCTAGAAAGACTAATTTCCCTACCCGCCATAAGGTACCTTTTGTCAATTATGGTCACAAATAATAATAATAATAACAACAATGTTTGTATACATTAATGTATGTGTATGGTATTTTACAGTTGCTTACTGATACTAAAACTGCATTAACACAAGAAAGAGAGAAGACATGTGAGAGACCTAGCAAAGGAAAGAGAAAGAACAAATGTTAGACATATGCGTACGTGTGTATGAAGAGGAGAGAAAAGCAAAGGAGAGAAGAGACAATGATACACAAGGACAGGACTCATGGAACATAAATGTGAGAAGACAGTAATATGCAGTACCTATTAACAATACATACATACATTGGTAAAGACAAGAATTGTTTATTACAAAACCAATATAACATTGCGAAAAATACTTAGAGTCACGGTTCCTCAACAGATTTGGCATAGTACTGATACAGGTTATTGTGAATGGATTGTCAAATTGCTCAAAATTTGAGGCAAACACACTGTACTATATACTGGGACACTGATCAATTTTAGTCAAAAATGACAAAGAATGAATTCTTCAATTTTCATTATGTTTCCTCATGCATATACATGTACTTATGTTGCATAAAAAAATTGAGCCAATTGAGATAGGATTTGGATTTTTTATCACTTTTTTAATTTACTCAAAAATTGAGCAAAACATTTTGTAGTATACTGTATTGTAGAAATTAGAGTCCAGGACTTCCAAATTTCTTTATTACATGCATACATGTACAACAACATTCACCAAACTTTTTCAAAAATACAAAGAAAGAATTTTATCAATTTTACAATGTTTTCTGATACACATACAAGTACTTATGTTGTGTAGAAACTTTGAGCTAATTCCATTCAAAATTAAATTTTTTTATAAAGTTTTAGAGTTATTGCAAATGTCATGTACTGCGCTGTGGTGGTAGTTGGCTCACAAAGCTCATTCTGTTTAGCTTAGCATACTTTGTGGGAAACCCTGTTTAGACTACATGATTGATAACTGTGGAACCTCAAGGACAAACGTGTATTGTATATTAAGTTTGAGACAATTCATGTACATGCAAAAAACTATATCTTGTTTACAATTATAATTACTACCATAGACAAGGAACTATGGGAAAACGATTGTAATAACATTCCTATGCACCGCTGATTGATATGCAATACAAAAACTCAAACAACATGTGTGTATCACAGCATTGTAAAAACAAGCTTACAATTTTCAATTTTTGCTACTCAATGAAAATTAATTGGCAAGGCCTAAATTTTTTTCCCTGCTAAAAATTTACTAGGCAAAGCTATACTGATACAGGTACAATTACACTGCATGAGACCCAAGCAATATCACAATTACTGTACTGGGGGGATCAAAACAATAAAATGTTTGCCGGGGATCTCACAAAAATTTGTTAGGGTTTCTACATGTAGATAGACCCGCTTTGTATTAAGCTTGGCAATTCATGCCACAATGGGTTTGAAAATTCAGAAATTAGTGTAACTAATTTATGAATACTATTATTAAACAATCATCTACATGTACATTAATATTATTTGTATTACTACAAAATGAAAGTGCCAATGTTACAATGCAGTATTTATACCGTAACCCAATTAAGAACCCTAATGTCAGGCAATTTTATTAAACTCAGCAGAATCATTATGCAATGACAGACACTATGCAACTGAAAGGTAATATCTACTTACTTATGACTGAACTGCCTAATGTAAGGACGATGACAGGAGCCTGTGAGCTGTGTGAGTGTAACTATATCAGGGGCTGGTTGCAGCAGACATACTTGCCTTAATAACCAATATAACTATTTGCCCTGCAACTTTTTCTACGTCCACAATAGCCTTGGACAAATTGCAGGAAATACTCGACCTCTCTCCGGACAACTGGCTGGTTTATAAATGCGAAGCGGGTGATTAAAAGTACAGGTAGGTGTGGATATGGAACAGAAATTGTGATCCAAGATTCATATGGAATGAGTTGTCTGCCACTATGCATGTGCAAAAAAGACAGCCAGGGGTTTGGAGACCATCCTCAAATACCAGCAACAAATAGTACTTCAATAAATAAATCATGCAGTGATTAGTAGCCAATAGCCAGTGACATACATTTTTGAATACTTGTCTAAATCTGAGAACTAAATGTGCCACATACTGAATGTATAGTTATCACAATTTAATGTAAAACCACATGACGTCCCTGATGCATACTCCATAGAGAAGAGAGGACATAACAGTGAAGTGTAAAAAAGCAGAAGAGAGACTAAAGTGGGAGAGGGAGAAAAAGAGAGAAGGAATATAGGAAAGAGTCAGAGTTGAGAATGGTTTAGTGAAAAGAAAGATGGTGTAGATTATAGAACAGTAAAGGTGGAATAGACAAGACTCAGGGAGATTACTGAAGGAGGCACAAGTGAGTGAGAAAGTAAAATAAGAGAGGGTATGGGTGTAGTGCATGTGAAGTGTGGGAATTAGAAAGGCAAACAAAACAAAAGATATTAAATGTTTCCAAGAGGTATATGTATGTACATGGTGTCTCACAGGTTTTATGGCTTAGTGCTCAGTATCTTGACAGTAAATCTATCAGTTTTGATAAAATATCCTGTACTATTATATACTAGAAGAATGCAAAACATTAAGAGGTTTCGCATGCAATCGTCATTAAAATTAGGCTATTTAACTTTAATAATAGTTAGAATACGACCCAACTGTACAGACACATTTCATCCCTATATTGGCTTTCCCAATTATAGTACAAATTTTATCAGAAATGGTTAGGAGAGAATTCACCACCATTATTTTTTCTGGTACATACACATGTTTTTATGTTGCATAGAGAGTTGAAGCTACTTCAGATCAATATTACATTTTTTTACAAGTTTTTAAGTTGCTCAAAATTAAGCTATGCATGTACATATACATGTACAATGTAGTAATGTACATGTGTCTTTGCAGTGCTTTTCAGCTCATGAAGCATGCTGTTTAGCTCACTTAGCATGCCTTATGACAAACCATGGATATATAACTTAGAGAAGACTAGAAACATCAAGGGAAAAGGCTGCAATGGGCATGGGATATTGAGTAATAATTACTGTGAAAGATGACATTCTTTGAATTAATTGCAATCAGTTTAGAACAAAAAGGATAACAGTAAAAGCAGTAACTTTGTGCTGTAGTGAAGCTTTTAGCACAGATGTGACACAGAAATTACAACAATGTTATGTATGACTAATAAACATAATGCTGAGAAGGGTTTTGAATATTTATATATTATTGCTTAATTAGATAACACGCTAATAGATTGGAATGGCTTGTGTGGTAGCAGTAATGGTATAACAGTAAATGTTGCTTATAGCTGGCATCAGTGTTACACTTGCATACATGATATGGTGATATACACTCTAAGGCATTTGACCACTTTATCCTCATGCCTGCCCAACAACAAACACAAGGCATGCTAATACATCACTTTGCAATTTATTTACAGAAAATTGTTGTACATTTGGATTCAGTATGAGCTAGGAAGAGTATGAGTGCTATAGGCAAAGGCTCCATTCAACGTTTGGTGTATATACATGAAATGATTAACTACACAGTTACTAAAACAGCAGCAAAGTACAAATACCGTGGCACAACCCCAGTATGCTTTATGTGTAATGGTGTATTCACTATAAAGTAAAATGTGCATGTCAGACTATCTGTACATGGTGTCAAGCAGGCATCATGCAACTGAAATCCATTGGAAACAGTGAGTGCAAATGTTCCATGAAACCGTGCAATACTCAAGCTACTGTAGGACCTCAACTTAATTAAATGATGAGCTCAATAGTGGCTGTATCGAAGGATTCAACTCTTTATAGGATAGTACAGATCGTGGAAAGGGATTTGGCCATCTTGTTTGGGACTTTGGGGTGCGGTGATAGGCATGTCATTAAGTTTTATGTTTCCAATTACACTGATCATAGATGCTACATACACATGCATATGAAACAGGAAGTCGGTATCCAATTATTTCTTTGAATTTCACCTGTAAACATCATAACCAGCATAGCTCTATCCTTGGCGCTTTTCTCTCTGTCTATGATGTCAAAAATGTTCTTGAGTAACTAATTTTATGTGAAAGAAGGTATATAGGTGTTTTTCTTTTGTTCAGTAGACCTAATAGATATATTCTCATTTTATTTAGTCAACAGGCCTCTTGTTTACATTACAAAATTAGAAGACCTCCATTTTTATCTGTAACCACCTTTTCTAGACTCTCGAACGGAGTTAGTTAGTCAGTCTTGGAATCATAATTGTGTGTTGTTTGTTACATGGACTGAAACTATTCTCATGTCAATGTAATGAGAAATGACTGAGATAATAGCCAAAAACTCGTTTTTTTATACTAATTTTGTAACCACGTTTTTGAGACTTTTGCACCAGGTATAGACAGAAGGAGGGCACCAGGTAATTAAATTGATGTAGTTGTTATTATTGTTATTATCATTACACAATGAGAGGGTCAGAAAGAGAGTACTGGACACAAGAGAAATGCACCAGGTAATTAAATTATTGTTAATATTATTTTTATCATTATAATCAAGAGTTACTCATGCGCAAAGAGAGGGTCAGAAAGATAGTGCAGTACAAAAGAGAAGTGCACCAGGTAATTAAATTGTTGTTGTTATTATTATTAATATTGTTATTATTATCATTATTAGTTACTCGTACAGAAGGAGAGGGTCAGAAAGATGGTACAGTACAAAAGAGAAGTGCACCAGGTAATTCAATTCTTGTTGTTGTTATTATTATTATTATTCTAATCATTATTAGTTATTCGTACACAAAGAGACAGTAAGATAGATTGTACAGTATGAAAGAAAAGGGCACCAGGTAATTAAATCATTTTTGTTGTAATTATTATTATTATTATTGTTATTAGTTACTCGTACACAAGTAGTAGGTCAGAAAGTTATTACAGTACAAGAGACAAGTTCACCACGTAATTACATTGTTGTTGTTGTTATTGTTATTAATATTATTATTATTATCATTAGTATTATTAGTTACTCATACACAAGGAGAGGGTCAGAATGATGGAACAGTATAAAAGAGAAGTGCACCAGGTAATAAAATTGTTGTTGTTGTTGTTACTAATATTATTATTATTATTGTTATTATCATTAGTTACTTGTACACAATGAGAGGGTCAGAAAGAGAGTACAGGACAAAAGAGAAGTGCACCATTTAATTAAATAATTGTTATTATTATTATTATTATTATTATTATTATTATTATTACTATTATAATCGTTAGTTACTTGTGCACAAGGAGAGGGTCAGAAAGATAGTGCAGTGAAAAGGAGGATGTGCACCAGGTAATTAAATTGTTGTTGTTTTTATTATTAATAATATTGTTATTATTATCATTTTTAGCTACTTGTACACAAGGAGAGGGTCAGAAAGAGAGTTCAGTACAAAAGAGAAGTGTACAAAGTTATTTAATTGTTGCTGTTATTATTATTATTATTATTATTATTATTATATTAGTTACTCGCACACGAAGAGAGGGTCAGAAGATAGTACAGTGCCAAAGAGGAGTGTACCAGGTGATTAATTGTTGTTGTTGTTATTGTTATTAATTTTATTGTTATCATTAATATTATCATTATTATTATTAGTTTTTCGTACACAAGGAGAGGGTCAGAACGACAGTACAGTCTAAAAGAGAAGTGCACCATGTAACTAATGCAAATTTAATTAACTAAATCTTAATTGGTTGTTTTGTGTGGTGGATGTCTTTTACCCAACCTTAGTAGAAGCACCTATTGCAGTGAATGACGTAATTGAATCAATCATTTCCTCTGATGTTTTGCCCCCTATTTTAACACCGATCAATGACAGGAAACGTGCCCGTGGCAAGTTTTTACGTATTGGAGATGGAAGTGATACCTACGTTTTCTCTTTTGACAAACCAGTTCCTGGAACTCAGGCTAAACTAGAAGACCATTTTTTATCATGATTAACTTATACCAACTTTGGTTTCATCACCAGATTGCAAAGTGGAAAAGAACTATGGCAAGTATAATGTACCCAAAAGGCTTATTTCAAAATCTGATGCAAAAGAGCTCTTCATTGCCAAGATAGAGCAGAATGAAACTAGCATTACTGATGACGTTCTACCAGGTCCTCCTGTATTGGTGTTCCATGCTATGGTTCATTATTTGAAAACACTCTAAATATACATTTGGAGACATGGGTGAAAAAAACTATAATGATCACTTTGAAGTTACAGGCAATATATGTTTGTTAGAATGGTCGAAAGTGACTATCCATCAAACATCAAGACCAGACTTTACTTTAATTCCCAAGTTTACTGCCTTTTCTGCCGTTACAGTAACAATAGACGATGATGAATACGAAGAACTGATTGGCATTGCTGGAGAATGTAAGGTGAAAGAAAACAAAAAGGCACAAGCCCTACCTAACATGGTATCCGTGGCAGGTGTTCTTGCTTATAAGGCACTAGTAGACAACTAGAAGTTTTATAAAATAAGTGTATATGGATTGATGTGCAACTATAAACATGTATGTGCTCATTCGTTATGCCTCACATTGAATTTCCAGACGAGAGTATCGGATATCATTGAATACTCTGACTCAAGAGATATTTGATTTCCATTTGCAGCTGCATATTCCTTAAGGGTGCAGATCTTGGGTATTATGATTTGCCCTTTTTATTTTTTTTAATTATAGCAAATTATATCAAATATTTTATATGCCTAAAAGTTAGTAAATAATTAAGGTACAACGGGCTGAACGCACAATTTAGATTTCGGGACACAAATTGTTTTCTTTCTACTTCTTCTACAATATTTAATTTTTTCATTTTTTTTCTCAATAGTGAGATGCAATAAACATTACTAAACTTTGTAAAATTGAGTAAAAAATTCTTAAACATTACGAGAGTACATTAATTTTTTGTAATGTCATTGTGTTTATAATATTATTTTCTATTGACGTATGTTGCGTCATTTGGCAAAAGTTTTTCAAGTTTTGCAAAATGGGCTGCAATCTCTCATAAAGTTTTGTTGACTTTCAAACATCAGTGTATCACAAAAGCATTTACTGCATATAAACTTGATTGAGTGTTTGCCTTCATTATGCCACGATTGCAAGCATTAGAGCTTCATAGAGCCTGCATTCACCAGATGAAACAGCTAAATAAAGAATAGTTAGCACATACATACTGGTGGCCATTTTTCTTAATGGTTTGACTATTATGAGGTCATAACTTAACCCCACCTTGCAATTTATTTTTCCAGCCAGTTTTATAATATACAGAGGTATCTAGAAATGACACAAGATCAAAGATGGCGTATAAAGTATGAAAAGTTATGCAGGAATTTTTTTAATATTTAAAGTTAAATGATCTATAACTTCTAAACAGTGCATGATAAAAATTTAAAAAAAGCACAAGTTGTACAACTTTTTCTTTACTATAAAATGGCAGCAATTAAAAAAATATTTAAATTTCATCCAAAAGTACCTTAAATTTTATAAAATAAAAACAAAAACATTTATACTAACAAATTGTCATGTAACAACGAAAATATGTCACATGACGTATAGCTCAAAGATGCGTGCACGACCCTCACAATTTAATAGCACGCGCATCCCGCACATTCACACACTTGTGTAGAGATGTCATGTGACATGTGCGCATGCGCAATTTTATATCATTGTGTTGCACGTTGGTAAGTGAAGTGTACATGTCTCCCTCTCTCTCTCTCTCTCTCTGCCCCTTTCTTTGAGCAGTCTCCATCCTTCTGTTTTGATAGGTATTTGATTTGAATTTTTACCAAGTTAACAATATCTTACTATATTTAGTGCCTATAGACCGTCTACTCTTCAATCTAAAGGGATTGGTTTTTATGATAATTCAGTTTCTTAGACTGTCAGTTTTCTTTCAGCATTGTGATAAGGTTTAACCTAGTTTGTACTTTAGGTCTCACAACGTTATGCATCACGATAGGAGGTATGGTATTATAAGCTGCTTGCACAGATGTAATTAATGGGGTGAGGTTATGACTGTCCGCCATCTTTAGTGGCAAGAGTCTACATGGTGGGCCGGAATAAAGAGAAAGGAGAACAATCTGAATAAATCCTGCAGTTGACATTTCAAGCTATTGCAAGGTGGTAGATGAAGGTGTTAAGTCAAGTATGATGTCTCATCAATGGAAAATCCCTGTTTGTTTCTGTATCTCCATTTGTTTTTTGTCCATTCTTGTCACACAACATGGCAGACAGTCATAGCCACACCACCACACATCTGTGAATTACATCTGTGCAAGACCTCTAAGTACACAAGTTATAATGTATGGTTATTAATATCAATCTAAGTTATAAACTGGTTTTTCATTTGTTAAGATGGCTGCTTCTGGACATGAACACATAACCATGTATGTATGTCACACATTCGTACACAAAATAAGACTAACAATAGTGCTATCATTAAGTGGAGCTTGAGTAGTGCTACATCACTTCATTGCATTACACACACCACT